GTCTCACAGCTCCAAATTCGCTGTACATCCCTGAATACTAAAATATATTAAAGTATGCGATCCAGATTTTGTTGGAGCGAGATGAAAAGAGAGGTAGCCGACTTTGTTTCTAAGTGTCTAGTATGCTAACATGTTAAAGCAGAGTATCAACACCCAGACAGGTTACTTCAGTCATTACCGATTTTAGAGTAGAAATGGGAACATATTACAATGGATTTCGTAACAAGGTTGCCTAAGGCATACTCAGGATATGATGCCATTTGGGTAATTGTCGACCGACTCACCAAGTCTTCTCATTTCTTGGCTATCAAGATGATTGATCCCTTTGACAAGCTAGTAAGAATATATATCCGAGAGATAGTGAGGTTACATGGAGTCTAATGTCAGTGGTATTCGACAGAGACTTCAGTTTTACTTCTCAATTTTAGTCTAATTTTCAGCAAGTCATGGGAACAAAAATGTCACTTAGTACCGCATTCCACCCTCAAACCGATGAACAATCAGAGATGACAATTCGCACACTGAAGGATATGCTCCGAAATTGTGTTCTAGATTTCGGGGGCTATTAGGATGATCACCAATCTCTGATAGAGTTCGCCTATAATAACAACTATCAAGCAAGTATCGGCATGACTCAATACGAGGCATTGTATGACCACCTATGCAAATTGCCGATCTGTTGGAAAGAGGTTGGTGATAGAAAATTATTCGGCCTAGATTTTGTGAATGAGACTACAACCAAGATAGTTAAAATCATAAAGAACATGCAGACAACTCAAATCATGCAGAAAAGTTATGCGGACTCTTGTAGGAGGGATTTGGAATTTGAAAAAGGTGATTGAGTGTTTCTTAAAGTCACTCATTTCAAAGGGATCAGTAGATTTGGCAAAAGAAGAAAATTAAATCCTCGATTCATCGGACCATTTGAAATGTTAGACCGGATTAGTACGACTGCCTACAGATTGACACTATCTCCAGAGTTATCTAGGGTTCATAATGTGTTACACGTATCTATGCTTCAGACCCCTCACATATCCTATCTCACGAGCCCTTTTTACTAAAGGAGGATCTCTCATATGTGGAGGTACTGGTAGACACTGTTGATCGAAAGAGTACAGTGCTTCACAACCGAAAAATTTCATTCATCAAGGTTCTATGGCAGAACCATACGTAGGAAGAGGCCACTTAGGAACTGGAATCAAGCTTCAGGGCCCAGTACCCCCCCAGCTGTTCAACTGAGTGAGAGAGTGACCAATTTGAATGACCAAATTTTTTTAAGGGGGAGGGAGTTATAATATCCAGATCCAAAAAATGACCATAGATAAATTTTTTATTATTTAATTATTAATTTAAAATAAATAAATAATTTATTTTATTTTTATTTAAGTGAAATTTTGAGAAAAAATAAATTAAGGATGAGATTGAAAATAATTTTGGAAAAAAATAGTAAAAATTTAGGTTATGGAGGTATTTTTAAAAGAAAAATTAGAAACAGGGATCAAACTACAAATAAAAAAAGTTCAGCCACGTAGGACTGCCCAATCAGCAGGCTCGACGAACTGGAGCACACTGCATGACAAAGCGTGCTGATGTTGCTGCGTACCCCGCGATCGGACGACTCAGGATCGATCCTGCGCGCGTGGATGACCTGGATCCATTTCCTCTTTAAGCGCGATTGAAAAGTCGAGATTAATCGCGATGAACGAGCTAGATTTGTTTCCTCCTTAGGCGCGATTTGAAAGATGAAATTGATCGCGATGGATGATTCAGATCAACACAGGATGGTTATAAATACTTCACATCATATGGGAACCTAAACCCTAGCCGCTAGTCCCCGCCGGAGAAGAAGAACCAGACGTTGGAGAAGGAGGCTGACTGCTAACTGTCGTCGCGCTGGAGCCACCCACGACCGTCAAAAGAGGTAAAATTCCCTCATACCCACTCGAAATTCGATTTCGAGTACCCCTGTGGCCCAAATTGGAGCAAGAGGAATTACGGATGAGTCGAAAATCACAGGCAAAACCCAGTGGAGCCGCGACGGCTAAAACCCCAAAACTCTTCCGATGAGCTCCTTTTCGATTCTCGTTTTATGTAATTTTTCGATCATTGTGTTTAATCTTTTTTTATGTAGGGTTGCCGAAGAAAGAACCTCAGCCACGAATGAGGACTGGTGGAGCCGCCGACCCGGAAGTACCCTCGTTGATAGGTTCATTTTTTTTGTAATTTCCCGGCCAACAGAGACCCCTAACATATTTTTCTGCAGGGATACATCCAAAACTAGTTAAAATCGGCCAAAACCGGCCAAAATCGACCAAGACAAGATGAACCACTGCCGTAGGCAGTGGAGTCGGCGCTAGAGCACGACGGTAGCACCATGCCAGAACCTTAAAATTGATCAGAATGAGTTTTGGACACCAATTTCAGATTTTTAGAGTATTCTTAGGTATGTGACGAGTGTTTTGAATTCTATAAGAAAAATTCAAGGAACTCGGTACTCATTATGAGACATAATAGGCAATTCGACGTCTCAAAATACCGATTATGGTAAAGATCCATCACCTTACAGGACATGGTATAGGGACGGTCGGTTAATTGTTAAAATTGGATATTGAATTCACGAGTAAGGGGAACACCCCTATGGACCCCCAAAAGTACCAGTAAGCAGATAAGAAATGAAAATTATTGTTTCTCGTTCTTTTATGTGTGAAAGGGAAAAGTGATATGGATATGGGTTTTCATAGGTTGTTTTTGAAAAACTTGTTACGGTAAGTACGAAATAAACAATTTTTTTTTATATTAAATGAATTTACTCAAATTAGGTGTTTGGTGAGTACTTTTATGATTTTTATCAATTTTCAATTTTCTGTATCTGTTATTAGTGTGATATTTTTACTGGGATAGTGTAGCTCACTATTTCATTAACTATTTCAGATCAAAAGAACCAAGATTCAGATCCCGATCAGTAAGAGGGTTATAAATAGTTTACTATCCATACTTCTTTCAAGTACTAGTGAATGTTGTTTTAAAATGTTTAGTTATTCGCTTTTTGTTTTATTTCTTTAATTTTCATTTGTATTTTAGAATAGACATTTTCATAGTTCTATTGAACATTCAAAATTATTATGTAAGTAATGTAAATTCTAACTCTAATAATCGCTTCTGCATTAAATTTATAAGTTTATTTTTTTTTAAATTCTGAATTTTTACATAAAAAATCCATTGAAATAAAAAAAAGATAATTCTAATTTCACATTAAATTTTTTATATATTTATTTTATTATTTAAATTAAATATAAATTTAATAAATTTTTTAGTTTTATTACAACCATAGGCTTTCTCAATATTGTACTTTAGCTGGAACAAGTATTGTTAAAGTGATCAATCCGTCAACCAGTCAATCAGTCACGTTGTGGTAGGCTTTAAGTTGTTATTTTTTAAAAAAGAAAATTAAAATCTAAAAGAAAAAGAATTTTATGCTCTCATTTTCACATTCAATCACAACCACAAAGACACTGTGGGTCAAAACGACAACCAACATACTTTTTTTTAAAAAAAAAAAAAAAAAAATTGTTTGCCTTTATAATTTTGGGTTTTCTTTTTTTTTATCTTAATCTTTTCTCTTTCTTTTTTTGCCTTTGGATTCTTGTGGAAATTAAATCAAACATTCCCATGTCATATGACAACGATATACATATATACTTGATGAATTAATATTTTCAAAAACTAAAATTTTAAACATATCATATTGATGCTTGCAACACAAATGTGTATATCATTATATTTATTTGTGCAGCAACTAAATATAAATGGATGTTTTATATTATTTTTAAACTTAATTATGCTGTACTTTTTTCTACATATGATTTATTTTAAGCTAATAAGCTATTTTTATATAAATATGGAAAATAAATTTATATTATTTTTATATATGTACCAACCCACCAACAACCATATATATATATATATATATATACACGTGCGAGGAATAGATTAATAGAAGCACATTTTGTGTTGTAAAAAGAAAGAAGAAAGAAAACTTAGCTTTTATTTTTAAATTTTTAGGAAGATGTAAAAGTATTATAAAAAAATAAATTAATTGAAGTGCTCATAAATTGAACAGGATGATAATTATTATAATTTATAAAACCCCTAAAAGTTATATTTTTAAAATCCAAATAATAAAATAATGGTTTATAGTTACGGCCTGCTTATTCGGGCCTGTCTTAGCCCATTAGCTTCTATACCAAGAACGTAATAACGGTCCCTTACCAAGGGTATATTTGTAAACTCACGGCGTTCAAAACGGGAAAAGGTGCTCATGGCAGCCCGCTCTGCTTTCTCAAATCTTGATTCAAAAAAGTTCATCAACCCACTCATTCTAAAATCCATATCAGCCACAGACTGAAGAGAAGATTAGAGAGAAAGAGAGAGATGGAGAAGATATGTGTAGCAGTGAGAGTGAGGCCAGCGGTGACAGAAGAAGCGTCGGGTAATCGAACACACTGGAAGGTAGAAGATAATCGCATATCTCTTCACAGGCTCCATGGAACTCCTATCTCCGGCGTTTCTTACGCATTTGGTATATAATTATCATCTCCATGGCCCTCATATTTGATTTTCTTCCGCTTCATCTTCCTATCTTCGTATTTTTTTGCTTCTGTTTCCTTCCCAAGTTCTTTTTGGAATTTGAGATTTGATTTGATTTGACTTGGTATTGTTTTGTAAAGAATTGAATAATTTCACTCGGTTCTTTTGGCAGATCACATTTTTGACGAGACTTGTACTAATTCCAGAGTTTATGATCTTCTTACCAAGGAAATTATTCATTCAGCCCTTGAGGGTTTCAATGGTAATAATATGCCTTTTTTCTTTTAATTTGTCCTGTTAACATAAAACTAAGCTGTGATTTGCTTTCATTTAAGATTTGTTTTTGGTTTTTTTCTCTCTTTTTAATGGAGAAATTGCTAAGTAGATGGAATGTTATACGTCATAGGCTTCTCCTTTTGCATATCAAATGCACTCTAGGGGCAGTGAGAGACTCGAGCATGATTTTAATCCATTATTTCTGCCACTTCCTAATATTTTCAGAGAAGTCAAAGATCATTTCTCATGTGCAGTTTAGCAACAATACTCTCTTTTTAATTAAAAGGAATAAACCGATAAAAAGTGATGGTAGGACAGTAGACTGAATTCAAGCAGATTTTTGAGGAACTTTGAGGACTGACATTAGCCAAGGATAGGAATTAACAAGTTGAATGTAACTACTTTACCATATAAAATTTCAGTATATTAGAGTATGAACATGTCTTCAGGATGTTCTTGGCATCCTTTTGATATTAGCGATCGGATAAACAGATAAAATGCTTGGTCTAAACGGCATGGCTAAGAAAATTTCTTTCTTCGGTTGAATCTATTGCAGGAACTGCATTTGCATACGGACAGACTAGCAGTGGAAAGACGTTCACCATGAATGGATCAGCCACTGATCCTGGAATTATTCATCAGGCTGTTAAAGATATATTTGACAGAATACAAATGGTAGGCACTGCTTTATGTACTGTCAAAATTGATGCACGCATGTCACAGATCAAAGTTTGATTTCCATTTTTCATATATGGTGTTCCCAGATATCTGACAGAGAGTTTCTCATTCGAGTTTCCTACATGGAAATTTACAATGAAGAAATTAACGATCTTCTCACTTTAGAGAACCAAAAACTGCAAATCCACGAGAGCTTGGAGGTTTGCTAACTATATGGACAGCTGAATCTGTCTTTGTATTCTGTTTATAATGATAAAATGTTATTGTTTTTTCTTGTCTTCCAGCGTGGAATATTTGTCGCAGGCCTCAGGGAGGAAATTGTGAATAGTGCTGAACAAGTGCTTAAACTCATTGAGTCGGGAGAAGGTCTGAAAGCAAACATAAAACAGTACTTATGTTCACCATCATATTTCTTTAAATTAATCCGACTAATATGCTTTTACAGTCAATAGGCATTTTGGTGAGACAAATATGAATGTTCGTAGTAGTAGATCGCACACAATATTTAGAATGGTATGTTCCAACTATAGTACTGGGAATTAAATTGTTTTGGATCCCAGCATCTCACTGCTTTTCTTTTAAATTTATCGAATGCTAGGTAATTGAGAGCAAGGGAAAGGAAACCAGCTCTTCAAATGATTTTTCAAGCACTGATGTTATCCGTGTCTCAGTGTTGGTTTGTATTCTTTTTAAATTGTTATTCAGAGTAGTTCTGCCTGACAGTTATATATAATGTTGTTTTTCTTGTTACAAAAGGCATCCAGGTCCGCTCTTATTTGGCTTACTAATCTTTTTCTGCATTCCCTTTTATTTTTACTTAATTTGAAAGTAGAATTTGGTAGACTTAGCTGGATCTGAACGAATTGCTAAAACTGGAGCTGGAGGAGTACGCTTGAAGGAAGGGAAGTACATCAATAAGAGCTTAATGATACTTGGTAATGTGATTAACAAGCTAAGTGATGGTGCCAAGAACAGGTATTTTTTTTCCATTTTCACGAAGCATCTTGATACTTGAAAAAACTGTCCCCTAACGAAATAAATCACTCATACAGGGGTCATATTCCTTATCGTGATAGTAAGCTAACACGAATACTTCAACCAGCTCTCGGTGGTAATGCCAAAACTTCAATTATATGCACTATAGCACCAGAAGAGGTAGCCTGTTACTTTTTTCTTTTTTCTCTCTATTTATTCTACATCTATTCCTTGACTTGATTGTGATACATTCAGGTTCACATTGAAGAAACAAAAGGAACACTTCAATTTGCTAGCAGAGCCAAGCGCATTACAAATTGTGCTCAAGTGAATGAGGTATGCCTGCAGAACCTAGCTTTTTGACACTCTTGACCATTTTAAAGACTAGCACCTAAAAGATATTTACATCATTTTCTTTTCTACATTGTTTTCTTTGAACTTTCAGTATTACTTCTTTTCTTCCTCTTTTGGTTATGTTTCAGCTCATTATGTTTAAATTTGTCATAGATTTTGTCAGATGGAGCCTTACTGAAGCGGCAAAAGTTAGAGATAGAAGAGCTCCGTAGGAAGCTTCAGGTGATGATCTTAGGATATCTGCTTCTTGAAGAGGCTTGAAATAAATTAACGTGATTAAAATTCTCAGGGATCCCGTGCTGAGGTGCTGGAGCAGGAGATTTTAAAATTGAGGAATGACATGCTCAAGGTTGTTTCTTCAATCGGTGTTCTTGTACATACTCTGATTACTGTTTTGAACTCCAATCTATTATTTTCATGTATGCTTATGTTTTTTTTCCTCTTCTTTGCCAAATACAGTATGAACTAGAGCATGAGAAGCTTGAAATGCAACTGGAAGAGGAAAGGAGGTCACAAAGAGAACGTGAACAGTGCATCAGAGAGCAACAAATGAAAATTGATAACCTCAGTAGTCTTGTTACCAACTCAGACTGCGACAGGAATTCTAGTGAGGTATAACTTATATGTAAAATCTTTGTTCGTTTGTGAATCAAGTTGTCTCCTGTTTTCCCTATTTTGCCATTGCCAGCCTTCAATATTCCTGACACCATTATGGAATTGGCTAAGTTCATCTCAAAAAGTATGATTTTCACAAAGCTGCTTTATGTGTTTTAACATTTGTATCTCTCAGGTTGTATAAACTGTCAAAACTCTAATGCTAATCAACATTCAGTCCTTATATACCACGTACTGCCTTTGTATCTTGTGCACATATTAATTCTCTGTATTATAGTAGAGGCATTCTTTCTTATGCGATCCATAATGGATGGTATGATGGTACGTCACTGGGAAGGTTGCTAAATTCATTTCAAAAGAAACCTGTTTTTAGGGATTCACATCAAGTCTAACATTAATGACTCTTAGTGTAAAGCTAATCATAATCATCAATTCCAGTTAGCAAAAACAAAGATATATTTACTTTTTTAACTTTTTTTATTGTATTATAAATTTATTACCTGTTCTTTAATACTTTTTCCAAGTGTTAGGATATCTTTTCAATATTTCTCTTGATGTTGAGTTTCTAATGATTTAGCATTGTCTGATAGGAAAAAGATTCTGTCAGACAAAGATTTAAAGAGGAATGCCATGATAGCAACAGCATATGCCAACGAGATGTTTTTACAACTCCTTGCTTCAAGGCAGCTCCCAATGCTTTTGTTGTTAAAAGGTCAAATAATTCGAGGCTCTCAGATTATAGCCCCTTACTGGATTCATTTAGCTATGTGGCTGATGAAGATACATGGATGAAACTGAACAAGGGCCATGTAACTGACCTTGATTTACTTCTGATGACTCCTGCAAGAAAAGAACTCCTTCCATCAAATGATGTAAATCCTGTGAGTTGTTATGTCTTGAGTATTTCTAATTGCATTCAGCATGTAGTTGTTATTTTGTCTTCTTCCTCCCAATAAATGCTACTTTTAATTTTATAAGCTTGTGAAAACAGATAATTTTGGTCTACTGAGAAACTCTGTATGGTTTGCTTGTTTGTTTCTGGTGTTCCTTTCCCGCTTTTGAAAACACCAAATTGATTCAATTGAAGAAGATTACAGTGGAGGCTGGTTAGTTTTATATTGTTTCACCTCTTGTACAATGATCTTGTAGTTCTCTCCAGGTTTTATCAAAATCGAAACTACAAAAGTAACTAAACAGTAGCTATATAAGATTAAACATTCTGAAACATGGCTATATAAGTATTTTGTAGTTAACAATATGATTGTACCATCATAATATCTTAGCAAATTCCTGTAATGGATAATTTTGGACAACTCCACCAGTTAACAAGATTATTTTGAATCAATAAAATTTTTCCAGGTTTGCTCACATGAGAACAACGAAGAGGTTGAAAATCTCAAGAGACAATTAGCAATCATCACCGAAGAGAAGAATGACCTTGAGGTTCGTGTATAATTTTTTCACTTGTATTTCAGACTTCATAAAATTGGTGAAAACACTAATTTTATTGAATACTTTTCTAGTGGAAAGTCAGAAAATTGATTAGTGCTTTCTTGCTAATATTAGATAGGCTCAACAGACATGAAGTCTCAGTTCTGAAATATATAGCCAAAGTAAATATCTGTTTATTGGTTTTGATGCTTATATAACCAACAGTGAGAATAGTAGATATCAGTTCCATAACCTCAGATAGTACCATATATGGCCGTCAATGAAAGTAAACTAGGAACCGTTTTCACATCACTAAATTTTCATGTATGGATTTTTCTTGTGGCAGCTTTGAATTTGCTCCTGTTAGCTTTCATTAAACTTTCCAGCAACTGCTGCTGGTGCTTTTTTTCACCAAGACCTATTTCTAGTGATAGAACGTCTATCTTAACACTGAATGCTATTGTGTATTTGAGGATCTACCAATTGTTCTACTCCGTAATTTTCTTGTGCTTTATTCTTCTTTTTACCCTCATACACCGAATTGGCAAATACAAACACAGAGAAAACACAGTGAACAAGCACTTCTGAATGACCAATTAACGGGAGAGATTTCTGTTCTTAAACAAGAAGCGCTTCTGGTTCAAGAAATCCCCCGAAGGTTCTGTGAATCTGTAGCAAGTTGCAAAGATATTTATGAGGATATTTTGTCAATGACCCAGGTAAAATATTTCGATGACATCTACTCATGATTTCTACTTTCTCAACATTCAACGTGATATCTTTACTTTTCTTTCTTTTGTGACTTCTCATAGACTTTCAACTCCGAGGGGGAATTTTCGATCGCAAAACTGCTATCTGGTACATGTGAAATAGGAATGAATATTCTCTCAACTCTGGAAACCCATTTTACAATGGGAGTGGATGTACAGAAATCCTTCCCCCTGAACAAGTCTCTAATACAAGAACAACTTGAAGTGCTTCGTGGGCAGTTGAAAAATATAACTGACTCTTTTCTATCAGAAACAATATGCACGGAGAGCGAGCAAGTGAAGAATCCGACATATAGCTGCAACAATAAGGTAGCTGCCTGCTCATCACTATCAAGATATCATTCATTAATTATGATTTTTTCCTTTATCCTGATGTTTGGATGTTTTGTTTCCTATACTCGAAACCTGAAATTTTAAACTAATTTTTGCTATATATGATTTTTTAATTGTCGATATTAGTATGCAGTGTGAGAGACTTTCTGAAAATTAAACAGAGAAAGCTTCTTCAAGTTCTCTTTTCCAGGAGAATCCATGTTTTAAACCCTGTGCTCCTTCAGTTTCGACTTTTTTTGTTTTCAAATATGCCATGACTTTTAGACTCAGTTTGCTTCTGATGGCACATGATAGGCAAGTACTCATTAGAGCGACAAATGAGAGAACCACTTATCCAGTTGATAGAATCGGCAGGTCACTTTTTTTCCCTTTTTTTGGGGTGAGGGGCACTTCTTAGGGTATGTTTGAAGCAAATGAATTATTCATGTGAATATCAGTTAAAAATTATATTTAATTTAACTATTAAATTATGAAAACTAAATTAAAAAAAAAAGAAAAATAAATTCCAAATAACTTCAAAAGAAATATTGGAAAATACATTTTAAATTTTGTTAATTTCAAATTTATTTAGAGTTAAACTTTTATCTTTTCGTACTTAAACTAAATATATTTTCAAATAAATTTTACAAAACTAATTTATTTGTTCCAACCATCCTTTAGAATTTCAAATACCTTACCATTCATAGAGTTGTCTTTCTGGTTTATACCAAGAATTTCACCTTCAACAGATATAACTTGACATTCTTGCTTACCTTACAAAGAGCAGAAAACATCAGATGATGACGTTACTGAGCTTTCATTTGACGGAACATATCCTTTGTCCTTCAACTAAGTTTAGCACTTCCCGCCTGGCTGCCTAGTGGGTGATGTACTTTTATTAGAGCCCTACCAATAATGGACAAGGTTAGGCATGATAGTAGCACTTAGCTGAAAGGTTACGTTCGGTCACCTTCACAGAAGTTACCTTGGGTCCAAAAAAATAAAAAGTTAGGATTGGTTCCAGAATCTTTATGATGCTAGAACCTTTTCGTAAGAAGTTTTTAGTTGCCCAGAAGAAAATAGGAACTATCTTTTGATGTTCTGTTTTAAGATGTGGTTTCTGAATGTGAAACTGCTTGTTTGAAGGAGAAATTGAGTGATGAACTTGAGACAATTAAGGAAAAATACCATGAGTTGGAGAAAAATTTGGTTCTCAAAAGCCAGCTTCTGGAGGTTTCTGAAGAAAGATTTGAGAGCTTGGTGAAGGAATTTCAGGTGCTGAAACAAGAACGGGACTCTTTGCTTGAGAAAGTCGCCGTATCATCTCAAAAACTCGCAGAGGTTACACATCGGAAAGAAAATGTGTTGAAAGATTTGAACACTGAAGTGCAGGGCAGGAAAGATCTCGAGGATGAAATTAAAAAATTCAGTGTTGCTTTTGCCTCTAGGCAGCAATCGCTTGTGTCTTTCTGTAACGAATTTAAATCCAACATTGAGAAACTTAGAGCCCAAAATCCAGTTTTAGTGTCCAAATCTTTTAGGTACTGAAAACTTTGGTTGTTTCCACCAGCTGTTTAACGTTCAATTTCTGTCGTATTTTTGTTGTCTACATTGTCTTATTTACTGTATTGAATATGACCACTCCTGACGCTCTTGTTCTGGTTTTATTCAATTGGACTTATTTCTACCTAGTTGGACAGAGTTTTATTTGCAGTTATCATATCATCTGAAGCTATTATGTGATCAGATATTTGACGTAGTAAGTGTTTGTTTGCAAGTAATCAGATTAGACTTTTGAAGCTTATTTATTTGTTTGTAGTGAAGAATGTAATTTCTACCTGTGAGGAGAATAGTGCTTGCATATATCTATAGGTGTATTGGTTCAATCTGACCCTCCTAGTCTGAGGAGAGACCACGGACACCATTGACTGTCCGGGAACTGGCCTTGCTGAATAGCTTATCTCGAATTAGATTAAGCATTTGATTCCTTGATTCGAAACAATATTGGATTCATTCACAGTTTCTTCCACCCCCACATCCTTGATCAGTAATCCTAGAGAAAAATGTGGTCCAAAAACTGGAAAACCACTGTTAGCTGCAGCTGTTTAAGTACTAAGATTGAACTTGTGGTATGCTGTTACAACTTTCTCGATCTTGTTACCTATCATGTTTATGCGTATTTACTTTGCATTAATTTAAAGTAGGTTTATCAATTATTATTTAGTTTAATAGTTAATATGTTTTTTTTTTTTGGGTAGGAAATCATGGGTTTAGATTAAAATGTGTTCGTAAGTGTGTTTTCATTTACAAATTATTTATAAATACATTCATTTTTTATTCAAATAATCACATTAGTTAATTAGGAAATAATACAAATATATTAAAGTTAATTTCACATGTATGTAATTCAATCTACAATTAGAGAATGCATGTAAAAATTCTGAGTATCCTTTCAAATTTTGATCTAATACCAGGTCGATTTTTATTTTGAAAACCATTTTTTTTTTAACAATTTTTTAGTTGAACTAAAGGTAAATTTGTAAATGAATTTTTAAAAAATTTAAAATTTATTCTAAATGTAGCCTTATTTCATCAGAAAATAAGAGAGTAAATATTATTATAAAGGAAAAAAAGTCTTGGATTTGACAATTGAAATATCATAGTAAAGAGTGACATTTTCTATGGTGCTCTTGTTTCAAATAGATTTATATGAAGAGTTATTTAGATCGAAACGTTGTATTGGGACTGTTATGGGTTCATTCAAAAATAATAATTATGATTTGGATTAATTTTTTTATAATAGAGAGATGATTTACTGATTAAGCCCCAAAAAGAATTCTACATTATATATATATATATATATATATATATTAGTGTTTATGATAAAATAAGTTGTAATGATTCCGAATTTAAAAAAAAATAAATTATAAATTAAATACAGAAGCGAAATAATAAAGTTAGGGTTTACATTCTTTACACAATAATTTAGAATACCTAATAAAGTTACGAGAATGATTATTCTAAAAAAAACAAACGAAAAATCAAAAAAATAAATAAAAAGTAAACAATAGGACATGCTATTCGCAACCTTATTGTAGATTGATATCTGAATCTTGGTTCTCTTGATCTGAAATGGTTAATAAAAGAGTGAGCTATAGTAGCTCAATAAAAATATCACACTTCTTACTGATACAGAAATGGAGGTTGGTAAAAATGATAAAAAAAACGACTAATAAAGTTCTTAATTTAAGTAAATTCATTTATCATAAATAAAATTATTTATTACATACTTAACGTAGCGAGATTTTCAAAACTGACTTATAGAGTTAATAACACAAACAACATCATCATCTCATATTCAATTAACCAGAGCACAACTTTCCCTTTTTATCTGTCTACTGGTATCTATCAGAGTCCATAGAGATGTCCCCACTACGCATGAACCCTTACTCAACATTGTCAACTAACTGGCTCTGATACCAACTGTAACGACCCTGAAAACTCCAAAGGAGATAAATTATAAATTTAGTGCGGAAGTGAAATAAATACTTAGAGTTTACATTCCTTACATAATAACTAAAAGTACCAAATAGGACTTACAGGAAAAACTATTATAAAAGAACAACTAATAACCAAAGAAATAAATTAAAAGTAAACAAACTGAACGTTCTACTCGCAACCCTCTTGTGGATCGGCCTCTGGATCCTGATTCTCTTGATCTGAAATGGTTAATGAAAGAGTAAGCTTCACTAACCCAGTAAGAATATCACGCTACTCATCGACACAGAAATGAAGGTTGGTAAAAATCATAAAACAATTAATAGAGCTCTTAATTTAAGTAAATTTGTTTGTCATAAATAACATAATTTACTGCATACTTACCATAACGAGATTATCAAAAACAACATATAGAGTCAATAACATAACATATATCATAATGTCATATGCAATCAGTCGGAACAACTTTCTATTTTTTCAGCCTACTGGTATCCATGGGGGTCTATAAGGATGTTCCCACTATACGTGAACCCCTTTTTTACATTTTCAATTAACAGACCATCCCCATACCCTGTCCGTTATGAACACCAAAAGATACCATCTCTCAATACCTCGTCCGTTATGAGGGTAAAATGGGCCGTTCTCATACTCCGTCCGGTATGAACGCCAAATTACCAAACTTTGATACCCCGTCTGGTATGAGACAATGTTCATGGTAGGGTTCCCTATGTACCCAGTCCGTCCACCATCTCCCAGGATATCCAGTAAGGCTGCCGATTTATCCATCCACTTAATCAAATAATTTTCTGTTTACCTTTAATTTTTAATTTTCCAATTCAACTGTAATCACATGAAACAAGTAAAACATGTATCAAAGAAATACAATCGCATCATCATACCAATTTCAGTCTATTATCATCTATTCGAAAACTGTAAAATCAGACAATCGGTTAAACATAGCAAACAATAGTAAATAATAATTCCAGCTCCATTAGTAACCTGTAATTAATTATGAATGTTTTCTAAGTTTCATAAAACACCATATTATTTAAAATTAAACTTCAATTTCATAACAGGGAATAAGGTGAGGGATTCTTAC